TTCATGGATCTTACATTCCAGGTTCCTATGGAGTATAGATCTTTGCAGCATCAGACTCTCCTTTCACCACCAGATACATCGGCAACTGAGTGTCCTTTCGGCTTTGACCCAGTCGCTTCATTCTTTCTGGCACTACTAGTACTAGCCCTCCGCTCTTCCCCAGTAGCATATTGGACACCTTCCGACCTGAGGGGCTCATCTTCCGGCGTCATATCTTTTTGCCTTTTGGTCCTGTCCATGGGGTTTTCATGGCAAAGATACTGGAGTGGGTTGCCATTTCCTTCTCCAGTGGATCACGTCTTGTCAGAGCTCTCTGCTATGACCTGTCCCTCTTGGGTGGCCCTGCACGGCATAGCTCATAGATTCATTGAGCTACACAAGCCCCTTCGCCACAACAAGGCAGTGATCATTATTTGGGCTAAGGAAGGTAAGGTAGAGTGCATGGCCATCTGGGGAGCCTGGAATTCTAGTTTGGGTCCCCAGGAGAGCTATAGGTGTGAGGTTTCCCATGTGTCCAAGTGAGAAAGAGCATGCAGCAGGAGACTGGGCTCTCAGGATCCTGCAACAGGAACGCCTTGATTAGGATTTCATGCTTTAATCAATAAATTGTGCTACTTTTAGGAAAGTGATTTATTTATCATTGTGAGACCATGAACCATATGGAATGCACTCAGACGGATGTTAATCTGGATGTTACCTTTTGGAATTCTCAGCTGTTCATAATGTTTTATGTAAAATATTTTTAATCTGCCTTTCAGCTAACTGCCTCCAAGACAGTTAAAAAGTTATAATAAAAAGTAATATGCAGTTGGATGTCTTATACACACTAAAAGTTACTAAAAACACCCTAAAATAGTGATAACGAGTAACATCAATCCTAATAGCAACAATATTTATCCTATTAGAAGAAGCTAATCAAGATAGCTTTGTTTTGGAACAGGACTGCCTTTACCTGGAATATAAAAATCTTATGGAGAGAGTTCCATGGCTTGAATGAAATTAAAAGAAGGCATTGATCTACAGAAGCATATGCAGAAGGTGTGCAACTACCTTTGTCAGAAAGGCCTTGATTCATAGTTGCACGTGCCGCAGATTGAGGAGGCAGAGAAAGCAGGAACTCTAAAGCAGATGTGAATGCATGACAAGTTCATATGTTACATTTCAGAGAGGACCAGCATCCATCCCAAGCTTGGCTAGTTGTGAATGCCTGAGGTGGGAAAAGACAGACGGTCTCATTTGTGAAGCAAGCGTAGTGCTTGTGGTTAGAGCACTAGATTGGGACTCGAGTGATCTTGGTTTTAATCCCCACTCAGCCATGAAGTTCACTGGATGAACTTTGGACCAGTCACTTATCCTCAGCTAAGTCTACTTCTTGTGCTTGCTGTGAGGCTAAAATGGAGAGGGGAATCATGCAAGTTGCCATGGGTTTCTTGCTAGAGGAAAAGAAATGGACTGTAACTGTGCTAACAAACATAATAAATAAGATTGTTAAAGAGCCAGATCACAATCTTTATTCAGTATTATATGTTCCCTGCCAAAAGTTCAGCCGGAGTTTCACCTCAGAGTACAGGAAATTCTCAAGAAAATGTGGTGGCCTGTATCTTTCTAGCCAGTCATTTTTACAACAGACATTTAGAAAAATGAAGGCACTTTATTGTCATAAAGGCTAATCAGAAATCAACAGACTGCAAAATCTAGGTGATACATGCAAGCTGCCTCTCACTCAAAGTCAGTCCTCGAAAATTGAGTGACTATAGGGCTGGGGGTGGAATATCCATTTGGCAGCCACCTTGAGAAACAAAATGAGACTGGACTAGCAATTATCAGAATATGCACAGTGGCTGAAGCCTGGGAGATTAAATCTCTTTCTCTTGTTGGGATTTTATGCTGAATCTACATCCAAATAGGCCTATCTGTCATTGGAGAAATGGAGGAAAACCAGCAACTAACTCTTCCTTTTGGCCATAGATTCCTACAACTCAAAATCTCCATAGCATTTTAAGGATCTTAGAAGTGCTGCCCTCACTTTGGAAAACAGACTCCTTTACATCAGACAATATCAGAGCCAACAGCCCGTGCCACAACAGCTCTCTAAGTGGAAAGTTCTAAGTCAAGGGGTGGGGCCACAATGCCAACATTCTGATTAGAGGATGGGTTGGAGGGGTGGGGTCTGCAAATGATTGATGGCAGTTGAAATGTGGGGGAGGGATATCTTAACTGTCAGAGCTGAGTTGCTTTCTCAGGTAGGGATAAAATTAGTAGAGCAAAAAAGCCTTTATGAAGCTGCAGTTAGTAGTGTGGAGGAAGTTCATTCTTATTTGTACTCGTTATTGGTGTGTACTTCATATTTTGCTCTTGTGGTAAACTATATACATTGGATAAAGAGATTAGATGTTGTCACTGTAAAAGAGAAATGTATTTGTGGGTGAGATTCTATTTTATGACCTGTGATAAAATGTTAAGAAATTTGTATATGTTAGAAAATTTTCTTTTATTTAAAGAATAAATTATTTGTCTTTTATAAATAATTTATTTATATAAATAAGTATTCTTTCTTTATTTAACATGCACCTTTTTTTCCTGCAAAGACCCAAAGTAGCTTACATAATTTCCCATCTGTTGACCAAATAATCCATGTCTTGGTGTGTGAATGCCCAATGTTTTATTTTAAAAGGCTATCACTTTCCAATAGGTAACAGAAATAAAAAGTTACAATGGTGTGATCTGTCTTGCTTGCATACAAAGCAGAAGGAAGATGCTCTGAAGGAAGGGAGGAGGATAGGGTGCTATTCCAGAGAAGAATGGGGTAGGTTGGTGTGAATTGCCCTTTGAGCTGCTGTTATCCATCAAGTATCACTAGCTTTCTCTGGATTTGATCCTGGTTAGTGTCAGCTGCATTTCAAGGATACACACATGCTGATTTCTAGAAAATAGGATTCTTTCTACGGCCCAGCTATGTGTTAATATTTGCATGATTATACCTGTGACAGTTATACCTATTGATTTGTACATCTGCTCTCCATTTTAGCCTCACAACAATAACCCTGTGAGTAAATGAGGCTGAGTTATGAGTAATACATTGGCCCAAAGTCACCCAGTGAGCTTCATAGCAAGTTGATATATCTTATTTTCAAAAAGTTCAACATGTTGAGTGAAGTAGGTCTGAGCATGTTCGGGTTTTAGGGACTCAGTTAAAGCTGCAGCCTAATCACAGTTTTTTGCAAGTAGGTCTAATTGCATTCAGTTGGGCTTACTTCTGAATAGACATATGGGATTGCATTGCAAAATTGTCATGTTCTGACATCTATGTGGGGAATGGCAACAGTTATTTCCAGCATTGGATTCTGGTGCTGTTGTGGATTTGTATCTGTCATTTATGCTGTTCTTTTAATTGATTATATTGTATTGCTTTAATTTTATGGACTGATTCAACTGGATTGTGAGTCCTATAAAACAGGTTAAATTAGTCCATTGAAAATCAGAACAGGTTGGGATTGACCCAAGAGGGAGGATGGAAAATAAGAGGAACAACTTATTCTTTGAATCAAGTTAAGATTCCAAGAGAGTTATCATGACCTGCGAAAAAGCAGATCAATATTTGCTGCTGTCACAGTGTATTTCTACTGATAAAGGAGAGTGACACATACAAAGCCAAAGAACAAATCCTTTGATTGAAATTTTTAATAGATTTATTGTAACACATTATAAATAAAATGAAAATTTTCTCTTCATGAGCGATACAGATAAAAATTGACTGCATTTGAAATGCAAACAAGACAGAAAATTGGCATATGGTAAGTGTGCAATATGCACCTAATAAAGATTCCTTTCTTTCTTACTTCTTTGCATCTGTAATTTTTTTCTTGGAAAATCTTAATTAAACCAATATATTTTATAGCTAATTTATGTGAGAATGCACATTACTTGATCAAGAAGATAATTTTCACTTGTACTTTTGAATATTAGATCAGTGACACTTTGATTTTTCACTTCAAATTTCTGTTTGGCCTTGGATTTCAGACACCCATAACTAGAATATATAACAGTAGTCAGAAAGGACAACAGTGTTAGTATATGGATGCGTGTGAGATAAAAAACACATTTGTCACAAATTTGAATATTTTGCTATTTGTGCATATACAATATGATTATAGAATGTATCTCTGGCTGAGGCTGAGTGCATGTCAGAACTTGAAATCAATTTGATACATGCCCATAGCAATATTCTCTAGTAATTCCATCAGGAATTGCACAGACATTTACCCTCATGCCAACAAATGAAAAAGAGCGGAGATTGAGGAAAATTTCATAAAGATGTGAAATGGCACTTTGGAACCGTTTGGAGGCTGCATTCTCTTTTATTCCACCACTGCTGTGAGTAAAATGGGTGAATGTTAATCAGAAATTGTCTCCAAACCATGATTTGTTTGCAAACTCATTTCAAGTTTTTACAGGCAATTGTGGCTAGTATTAACCTATATTTTGCATGACTGAACATCATGGCAAATTGTAGTTATACAAACCAGGAAAAGGAGGAAGGAGTTCATGAGGGATAGTAGAGGAGGGGGCATGCCCACAGCACTTTCTGCCAAACTAACAGGGCCAGGAAAATGATAACTGAGACATTGTGTTTCAGATGCTCGTTATCTATGGCAGGAACTTAATAAAAACTTTGAATTTTTAATTTGCAACTGTTCCTGCACATATATGTCACACAAATGATGATACAGAGGGACAATGAGAAACAAGAGCAGTTTTGTTCTGATAGACCGAAACTAATAAAATAATGGAAAAGTACCAGAATCATCTTCAGCAGCAACATCCCTTTCTACTGATTGAAAAAAGAATTGCTATTTTCCTGAAGTTTTCAGACATTTGAGTGTAGTCATTATAAACAGAATGCTGTGGCATCTGATTATTGGGAAAGAAAATATTCATACTAACCTTCTTTCAAGACATGAAAAGTTATCATTTCACTTTCCTGCTATTCTGTTTTGCAGAATCCCTGTGGTTCATTGCATGTGAGAATGGAAAGAGAGGACAAGATCACAACAAAAAACATCAGTTTCTCTTAGACTTTATACTTATAGAACAGATTCATGGCACTCAGGAGGCATGTGAAGAACTTCGTAAAAAATTATTCTGATGCTGAGATAAAAGTCAGAGAAGCAACATCTAATGATCCTTGGGGACCGTCAAGTTCTCTGATGTTAGAGATAAGTGACCTTACTTACAACACAGTTTCTCTTTCTGAGATTATGAACATGATCTGGCACAGAATGAATGACCATGGAAAGAACTGGAGGCATGTATACAAATCTTTAACACTTCTGGATTATCTGCTCAAGAATGGATCAAAGAAAGTTATACAGCGTTGCCAAGAGGGTTTCTTTAACATTCAAGTGTTAAAGGACTTCCATCATTTAGATGAAGCTGGAAAGGATCAAGGTAAGATTACAAGCAGTCTGAAAAAACATTCAAATTAAGTTGAGCACTGTGTGTACTGTGGTTTCATGATAGAGAGCAACCTAGTCATTTAATTGCTCAGGGATTCAAAAGTACTGAATCAAAGTCTTCTTGTGATTAAACTTGGGGAGGGGCATAACTCAATGGTGGAAAGCAAAAGGGATGGATGTCAAAGGTTCAGATTCAATTTTCACTATCTCTCTTTATAGCAGGGAGAGACTTTTTCTATGAGGAGTTATTGAGCAATAGGAAAAGTCAGAGGGTGGTAAGAGGCAGGCTGCAGTGGAGCGGGAGGCAGAAATTTGCAGTATTGCAGGGTTGCTCAATCATATCTCTCTGTGCCAGCCTATTTCTCTCTCTCTTTCTCTCTTACTCTCCTTTGTACCACACCATCCGGCTTGAAAAAGTGTATGGATTAGGATCACAATTTTTTTGTTCAGGCATCAAGCAGCATTGATTAAATAGGTAGCATGTTAATTTAAATGTAATTTATGCAAACTCATATATAAATCCAATAATATTAGAGAAACTGTTAGTGTCATAAATAATTACAATATTGCATTGGTAAATATATTAAATTATTAACGGCACCAGCTGAAACTATCCGCAACTGGTAGATGAAGCAAATAGTCCATCAGTGTTGACTCTTCATTGCTATCAGATGAATTATAATAAGTCAAATGCATTAGACACATCAGATCTCTATATGATGCATGTAAACTAATTCCAACTGTGACAACTCTACTTTCTGTTTTAATGAGTCAGATGTACCAATTACTTTTATTTATGTATTCTGCAGGATAAAAAATTAGGTACTGAAGCAAAATTGCAGCATTGCCTTACCACTTTTCCTATACACTAGTGACACTGGATACTATTTTGTTCCTTCATTTCCTATTGACCTTAAATACATTGTTTCATTGTTTTGCATGACATGATGAATATTTAGCTTCAGATGGTTGGATCAAATACATTAATCAGGATGTCAGTGATAATTTATAGCTACTTCAAGTAAAAAGCTTCCCTTTTCACCAATTTAAGCTGTATACTAACTAGCTAAAATAGAACAAGCAGTGCTTGGGACATCATACAATATACCAATATTATCCTGAAGAATCATTAAAATGTGTCTGCTGGCATACACTCCAGACTGTAAGCACCATGCCAAGGCAGTGGAAACAGGACCAAGTGTGCTTGAACAGTAATAGTATCGGACTCCTCTTCCCCATGCATGGCTTTGCATATGCTCTTTAGGTTAGGTTTATTGCTTTCTTGCTGCTGAGTTTGTTTTTCATCCAAGCTGGACGTGATGGTGTACCATATCTGGGATTCACAGTTCAAACTGTACCTGAACCATGGTCATACTGGCTGGGGGATGAGAAGGCCTGTAGTCCAAATCATATAGAAGGCACAACGTTGGGAAAGACTCCAAGAGAAAATGGAGGGGGTTCTCATGGCAGTGCTTTGGCTAGGAAAATATTATATAGTATTTTAACCTAGTGCTTGTCCAAGGGAAGGTAATGAATTGCTATAACACTGGGCTTAAAAAAATGAAAAGGAAGGTATTGAATCATTTTTGTTATCATTTTTGTGAATGAGGACAAGAGTTGTGATATAAACCTTAAAACATTGCTTATAATATATATTTATATAGAAGTCTACCAAATGTTGAATCCTTGGTGAAATCCAGTGTTGTGCAAGTAGAAGGTAGTCTGAGCAACAGATCTCTCTTTCCTCCTTCTCCCTATTTCTCCCAACTACCCTGAAATGTTTCTACCGGGATGGGAACAACTACAGAACATTGTTCATTCTATCCTACTGGGCTGAATTGCAAGAAGGGAATTGCCAACAATCAGGTAGAGCAATCTTCATGCAAAATTCCCAGTTTTAGTTGATTTCTCTTTGCCATTGCAGCCCACTAAGTTGCACAACCCTGCCTTCCAGAAGCACAACAGTGGAATTCACACCTTGTTTTGTTAGCTTGTAGCCCTGAGTATCACATTATCAAACACTTCCTTGTCTTCTGTATCCATGGAGTCCTATGAATGATCTAGTGAGCAAAACATTGATTTTTCTAACTTGGACACCATGTTTCCAACAGGTTTTCATGTGAGGGAGAAGGCTAAGCAAGTCCTTGCTTTATTAAAAGATGAGCAACTGTTACATAATGAACGTGAAATAGCACGTCGGACAAGGCGGCGCACTTCATATGCAATGCTTTTCCCCCAAAAGATACCTAACAAGGGTTATTTGACAACAATGCCTGCCTCGGACCCTGTTTCAGAGTTCCCTCCTTCAGAGAACATCCAATGTAAGCAGCTCATTTAAATTGCAATGCAAGTATTTGCATTTCAGAGCATTAACCCTTGAAGTCAGAGCATGACCCTGTTAGGGTCCTTAGTTATTTAGCCTTTAGTTGTCTGTAACAAATATCTGGTTTTCTTGTGTTCTTATTTTCTGGTATAATACCAAACAAATGGCAAGATTGATTTAAAAGTAGGTATCAGAAGGTTTAACTGGAAATCCCAGCTCACCATGTTTTAAACTATACCAGCTTTTATTTAAGAGAGTATTACTAGCTCTTCCACCAATCAATTTGTATCATTCAGGAACAGTTTCTGAGTACAGCTTCAGGAAAGCTACAGCTAACATGCAGTCTGGCATTTCACTCTAGAGAATGAAGCTAGCACAAGTGAAGTTGTCCAGTTGTGGTGTCAAAGCACTTAAGATACCATTATAGCTATTTTGTCATTCAGTACTGAGATAAATTAGTCTAACTATAAGTTATTGGCAATTACCAGAATCATATAAGTTTCCTGAAACTGATGCCTATACAGGCATTTGGATTTGAACCCAAAGTGTAGATTGACTAATATTGAATATTAAAGTGCATTCAACTCAAGTTGTAATCCTTGGCTTTTGTGAGAGAGAATGGAGTGTCTTCTGAGAAATAAAAGATCCATTAAGTAAATTGTGACCCCTTCTACACTTTCCTTTTTGAATACCAAGTTGAAAGCAAGATTATAAGATTTACATTCTTTCAGTCACTGGAAACTGCTTTAGAATGAGTGGCCAATACACTCCAGTAATGGTCTAATATGCAGCATCTTCTCTCTGCATTGAAGTTTTGAATTGGGAGTATCCCAGATCACATTTAATATGCTCACCTCTATTCTGGCTGTGTTCCAATAACTGTGGGGATGTTTGTGCATTCTTATTAGGTGAAAGGATTAGCCCTAGGTATATTGGTAAGCAGCCAGTAAAGATGTGACCATCCTAGACACTTCTGTCTGTAGAAGGAAACAGAACCTGAGATCTAGCCAAGGCTTAATCTAAAGGTAAATAATAGCTAGCCTTCTGAGATGGGACAATTTGAGAGACTAACACTAGAAAATAATAAAAATAAGGAACACTGAAAGCAAATAAGACCAAATGGAAGTCTAGGTACAGAAGGAGCAATTGTACACCACTAAATTCCTTAATATGTCAGTTTCCCACATGATCTTCTATGAGACTATGGCTGAACAAGGTCTGAGGATGTCATTTTTCTTATGGTTGCTTCACTTTACTTTTTGTAGATGTGCACAGAGTTGTAAATCACATCTGCATCCAAAGATATGGACAAATCAATGAAAGAATAACGATTGGTTTATCTGTCCCTGAGGGTCATGTGAGTTAAGCTGTAACATGTCAACTAGCCTTCTGTTGTGCAGTAATTGCTTAGGGTCTCACAACACTAGAAAGACAAGAAAATAAATATTTTTTGAATAATTGGTTATTAACCATTAGAAGATGTAGAGTATAAGAAAGCTCTTATTAAGAGAAATGAACAGCAGTTAATTAAAACAGAAATAGACTGGGACTATAGCACCAGTTCATTTATTGCTACATATTTCCAATTGTCTCCAGATAAAAACCCCTGCCACAGGACTGAAGTCTTAAAAGTTTTCCATTATCTTTCAAATGGTTTCCAAATTCCTTTTTAGCTGCTCATAATGGGAAACACATGCCAGCCTTACTCCAGTAATACACTCCTTTTAAATACTAATTGGAAGATTTGGTGACAGAGAAGGATGATACTGGCTCTAATTTTCTGGTTTCCTCCATATAATTTTCATATAAACAAGCAGAACTAGTTGCTTTTTATGTTAATTTTTTCCACCTGAAAATGAGGACTTCTGTCACACATGGAGGATATAAGCAGAGCTAGTAGTTTAGCACAGGGGACTTCTGTTGAAATTTGATTCTGTCTGGGTTTTACAATTATCATAGAAAGTTATAAAAGCATTTAACATTCAGATTCAGCTACTGCAGGTAGCATTGCAGTTAATGGACTGAACAGGATTCTAGAGGCATTTTTCTTCAATTAACTTGGAGAAATTTAGCATCTGTCTTTTTTTTTTTTTTGGTCTTTTTATCATTTTATTTTTTTCAGTTTTAAAAAACAGAAAACCTTTCTTTGACAGATTTTTCCTCCAAGGCATTTCCTGCTCCAGACCAAAGCCAGCCTGCTCAGACATTAAACAAAGCAGAGACAGTCCAAGAAACAACAACACTTAACATCATTGAAAAGAAGTCATCAGAGGTAAATCATACACAGGGAACATGTGTTGAAAATGATATTTAATGGAATGTCCATACAATATTTTTACTATAGTTGCAAATAATACTTAAAGTACACTTCAAACCCAACTTACTTGGGAGTAAGGCCTATTGCAGTCAGTGGAAACTTATTCTGTGTAGAGATATACAGGATTGCACTCTTAAGGAATTTGCCACTACTGCAGTGAGAAAATATTGGACTTGATAAGCATATTACTGGACCTGATGTTTCATCCTCATTTTATCATTTATTTATGTGTGGAGGATGGGTGGGACTTAAGGTGAGTATGTTGAACCTCTTTCAGCATGAAGACTGAGTTCTATTTTTGAGAAGGTCTCAAGGGCTAGGTTCCAGTGGTGAGCAAAGCCAAAAGTGGGTATGGCTAAAGGCAAAAACTTTGGGACAAAAATATAAAAATATTGGCCAATTTTAGTTCAAAGACAGTAGCCAAACTTTAGGAGAGGCATTTCAAACTTTTAAAATGGCAGGTGCAGGGAAGGGTTCAAAAGGGAAACTATGAAACAGTCAGCATTTAGGGGGAAATTGTGGGGCTAGGAGAAGGGGACATGGTGTTTCGAGGGAACCTTGAGAAATGATTCACATCCCACCGACTGTGGTCCGGCACCCTTGACTTTAAGGGGTAGTGCATGGTTAATTCACTGAAGGAATACAAGGCACTCGCATACTGCCTTTGAAAGTTCCTTCAATTCAAAAATGGGTTTCCGTGTTGCATCAAGGGTCCGTTCAAGAAACACTGGCTGAAAAGTGTGTGGAACTATTTGATGACAGCAGCTTAGATGGCGTTAGTAAGTTATGGGAAAACTTCTTGGGGATGAAAGGTGTGTCATCAATGGCTAGCCATGATGGCTAAATGTTCTTCCATGGCTGAGATGCAGATTCTTGATTTAATAATTTTTGGTATTTTTCTGGTAGTTTTGATAATTCTTCCTTTCAAATATATTCTTTAACTTTCTCGATTGGAATCTCCTCCTTCTGATATAGCTTTGTAAAAAAGTCTTCCACTATTTTCTTGATTTGTGCACTCTGTGAATGTAATTGTCCTTCTCTGTCTTTCAATTTCACAATCAATCTCTTCTCTTTTTCTTTCTTAACTTTATGTGCTAACCATCTCCCTGGTTTATTAGCATTTTCAAAGAAGTTCTGTTTGGTCAACTTCATTTGTTTAGTAAGCTCATTTGTATCCAAAAGGTTTAACTTATGCCTTAAAATGTCCAGCTGAGACTTAAGACTTTGTTTTGATGGGTCCTCCTGCAGCACTTGCTCCAATTTCATCAACTCCTCTACTATCAGTGCTCGCTCTTGTTTTCTCTTTTTATTTATTTGCACTGAGTATGTTATTATCACTCCTCTGACATAGGCTTTGGCTGTATCCCAGACATTCTGTAAAGAGGTTTCTTCTGGTTTATTTATTTGAAAAAATACTTGCATTTCTTTATTTATCTTTTCTGTAATTTTTTTATCTTTTAACAATGCTTTATTTAGGCTCCATCTGGGCATCCCTACAATTCCTTTTACTGATAAGAATACCGGGTTATGATCTGCCCAGACATTTGCCTCTATTTCAGCTTCTATCAGATCTGGTACTAAGTCTGGAGTTATCCAAACCATATCAATTCTAGACCACGACCTATGTCTATTTGAGTAAAAAGAGTATTTGGCAGAAGATGGGTTTTTATGCCTCCAAGCGTCTGTCAGTCTATATTCCTCAATCATGTTAGAGCAGGACTTTGGGAGTATCCTCCTACCCTTTTTTCCTTTACTAACATTCTTATAATCCATTTCCTTATCCACAATCGCATTGAAATCTCCCATTACACACATAGTCTGAAAATCCACTTGTAGAAGTAACATGTGTAATTTTTGGTAAAAAGTTTCCTGATGATCGTTTGGTGCATATATTGCCACTAAAAGTACTTTTTTCCGTTTAATTGTAATTTCAACCATCAGAATCCTACCCTCCTCATCAGCAAGAATAAATTTAGGTTCCAGTTTTTCCTTAACATAGAGTGCTAGACCTCTTTTCTTTTGAGAAGTGGAAGATACAAACTATTTTCCCAGTTTTAGGCATTCCAAAAGTTTAACACTTTGCTTCTTAATATGTGTTTCTTGTAAACAAATTATATCTAATTTTTGTTTTTGAAGTTGGGCAGAAACCCTTCTTCTCTTAGAAGGGTTCTCTCATTCAGTCCGTTAATGTTTAAAGAGAGAAACTCAATTCTCCCTTCTTTTTTTGTAGCGATATTTTTTTTAAAAATTACACACACACACACACACACGTCTACTTATTTTCGCCTTTACAGCTTTACCCTTTCTCTTCTCCTTTGAATCCAAAATTTGTACTTCTTGCTGTGCGTTGAGATTCATTATTTCTCCTTCCTCAGAATGATACTCCGTTAATTCCATTGCTTCAGTACTTTTTCCTTCTTCTTTTGCAATGCCAGGTTCTTCCTCTTCAAGCATAGATCTAAATTTTTTATAGAATTCTTGCGCTTTGAGAATTGAGTCTAATCTATATCTTGCAGAATTCCAAATGAAAAATATTCCTTCTTGTGTTAACCACTTGAAAATAATCTCTTTCTTAATCAATTTCATAGTAAGAAATAAGTATTTCTTTCTCCCATCTCTAACTCTCCATGGTATTTGTTTCAGAACCTTCACTTCTTGATGATCATCTCTCTTTAACAGTTTCTCACATGTAGTCCTCAGAACATTGTCTCTTATAGACCTTAGAGAAAATTTGACATGAACTTCTCTTGGGAGTTTATTTCTTCTAGTATAGCTTGAATTGACCCTATATATCAGGTTGATCCCCAAATTCATGGCTTCATTATCTACTCCTAAGGGGTCTGCCAGCATGATGGTCATCAATTCCCACAAATGCTTACTCTTCTCCTCTAATATATTCTGGAATCTTAAATAATAAGATGCTTTTTCCATCTCTAGCACGGTCACGACATCCCATGTTGACTTACTTGTTTGTTTGATTAACTGTGTTATCTCTATCTCTAGCTTTCCATCTCTAGCTTTCCCTGTGTTTGCTGTATTTTTTGTGTATTCTGTTCAGCTTTGAGTTGAACATCAGAAAGCTGAGTGGTTAGCTGAGATGTAGATTCTGAAGACAAAGATCCAAGGATGGCCATCTCCATCATGCCCTGCTTGTGCATGAATTAATTTTGAATTAATTTTATTTTGCAGGCACACAAATGATTTCAGTCTTGAGCAATATTTTCTTCCTTCCTCTTTTTGTCACTTACATGAAGTGCCTCACAGTTTCAAGTCACTGTTGTTGATTAATTAAGTATTGCTTTAATTGTCATTAAAGTCAACTTTACCAAGATAAAATACCATGGCATAATGCTTGGAACCAGTGTATAGATTTCCTATTTTATAAATAATTAACACAATGCCCACCAGCATGAAAGCAATTTGTACATGTTTTTTGTGAACCATTATATAAGTTTATCCCACCCTGTTTCTTACAGGTGAGATGTGATAAGTTGTAAAAATGTTTAGCTGTCTATTCAGGTAAAATGTGTGGGATCTGCTGTAATTTATGCAAATAGTCTGCCCTATCTTGAAGGTTTAAATATCCAGTTCAACAGCATTGTAAATGCCACATGTACTAGGTAAAGATGAACCATTAAATGCTATGAAATTTAAAAACCTGGCCATTTCCAGGTAAAGGAAATTCCACAGTTATCAAAAAGCTGCTAAAGTTGTTTTTCCAAGGTGGAAGTAGGAATCTTTTTCTGTGTCAAAGCCTGCATTTTTGCAAGGGAAAACTGGGGGAGGGGGTGGGGAAAGCCAAAAGTTGCTGGGAACACAGTTGGTAGTGAAGCACCCATTTTCTTTGCTGCTCTTTTCTCTTCTGCCATCATTTCTCCTTCACCCTCTCTTGTTCTTCATTTCCACCTGCTTTCCCTCTCCCTGTTTCCCCTTATAACCTGAGGCCTAGATCTTTTAGCTCTTTGCCGTGGTATTTAGTCTAACATAGAGATTACAAAGGCATGGATAATTGTCACCATAGTTGCAGCTAATAGAAAGTGTGGTAGTCTTTTCATGTGGGAAGAATAAAGTGGTCCTGGGCATCATCATCCCAAGAGGGGCATTTTCAAACTGCATATTTCACTGACCAAAGGAAAAGCAATGGGGGGTCCAGAACATTTTAATTCCAAATCTGTTGGGATACATGCAACATTATAGCCTTTGAATTGATAACTGACCCAAGGTATGCTAAATCTTCTACTACTTCAATTTCTTCATTGTTAACAGTAAAGTTCTGTAATTTTTCAGCTGCAGTCCTGCTTTTGTACTTTGTTCGTTCACTTTTATTCGGCATTGTTTCAAGTCATTGCTGCTTTCTGCCAGTAGGATGGTATCACCTGCACACCTTATATTAGCAATGTTTCTTCCACCAAATTACTCTCTTTTCTCTAATCCAGCTTCCCTTACAATATGCTTTGAATATGGATTGAACAAAGAGGGAAATGAAATGCTGCACTGTCTGACAGTTTTGCCTATGGGAAACAATTCTGTTTCTTCATATTCTTTCCTCACAGTAGCTTTTAGTTTGTGATACAAGTTATGCATCAGGACAATCAAATGCTGAGGAACACCCATTTCTTTCGGAATCATACATAGCTCCTCAAGATCCATACAGTCAAAGGTTTTGTGGTAGACTATTAAGCATAGATTGAACCTCTGAAATTATCTGGAGAATTCCAGTAGTCACCAAATTCATCTTGGACATCCAGCATTCTGGAATCCAGCTTTGATGTTAAACATTTCTCGCTCCATATAGTGTAGTATTCTTCATTGCAACACTGTGAGCATCACTTTAATTGCAAGGGGAATTAATGCTATAGCCTTGTGATTGCTGCACTTTTCTGCAACTGCTTCTTTGTGGACTGGAACATATATCAAAGATTTCCAGTCTGTGAGCTTTTACCCCCCGTTTTCCA